GCATCGAAACACATATAAAGCTAGCTAAAGAACATAAAACCAAATTGATTACGTTGTGATAGATGGGAAATACGATTCGAGTGTTCCATCCGAGCGTTCAAAATCGACTCAAAAGAAAGTTTGATGCGGAAAAGTGCAACCGCAACGGCAAAACAAACAAAGAACTATAATCTAAATATAAATGAGCAGTGGGATTCTTTCGTACCGCAGCATGAAAATTCTATCAGAAAACCAGGCAGAGCTAGTTCCTGAAATGAAATAAAAATGTAGTAACACGCTTTTGCATATCGGAACGGTGGCGCGTTTGAAAAAGAAGAACGCAGACAAATGTATTAGAATGAAGCCCACGTCCTTCCTCTCAACCAAGACGAAGTGAAAACAAAGCCACTGGAGCGGAAGCAATAACTGCTAGCTGTACAAAGCCGGCGACGAAGAGCGGTTTCAGTCTTCCTAATATTGATTATAAAACGGTGTTTCCATCAGTCGATTTTACAGACAATTTAAGGGCGATTACTTGGATAAAAAATGTCCTGCCCCCCAACGTCATTGGAAGCGTTTAGCTGTAAGGCGATTTTTGCTTTCAATTAAAAGTTTCCGTATAAGGTTCTATCGATAATACTGTGTGAAAGACCGAAGTGCCTCACGAACTAATGTATTAAACCTTATCAGTGTGTCTTTAGACTTGACAAGTCCACTTTACACGAGATTGTCACACCCCGACAAATCAGGAAAATATTAAATTGGAAAGGACATCGCCGAGCTTTTCCTTAGAATGCGATCCACTTTTGTATAATATAAACAACCTGATGTTGGAAGGCGCAATTCATTCGCCTCAACACCCGAGACGTAAGCGCAGCATGATTTTTTGTAAAAGGAGGTAAATAACTGACGTCAAAAGGATACTTGAAAACATTATTTTTGTTTTCAATAAATCACTCTTTAGTATCGGGTTCCTAATAGAAAAGTTATGAACGTAACACGATTTTGGCTGTTCTTAGGACTCAGCAAAGACAAAAATTATTATAAAAGGAAGATTTTGTTTGTCGGAACCACGCACGAAAATAACGCGTGCAAAAAGAGCGCCCAGACTACATGCCGTCCATGGTACTCTTTTCATGTCCCTTTTAATCTGTTTTAAATCTACATAATTTACGAATAAACCTAAGATTGGGTGTCAAAGAGCTCAGGTGTTCGTCGCTCAACACATCGCGGCCAAATGCCTCATACCTAATACTTACAAAGACGAGGGTAGAAGCACAAAAAGTGACTCATCCTCTTTAAGGCCGGATGGGCAAATGGAGTTCTCATGTACGCCTATACCATTCAAGCTTTTTAGCCACGCGAAGTGCCCAGTCAGCAGTCCAACAAGTTGTTAGCAGTCCGTCTGCTCAATGAGAGCACAAAACTAGATAGAATCTCTGAGATTGAAACCTGCAGCCCATCGCTGACTACCAGTCATTGCTCAGTGAAGTATTCACCCAGTTTCTGATGGTGGCTTCAATGGCCGAAGAAGGGTTGCGGGCCGAAGACTGCTTGGTCTGAGCCAACTCTGGCCAATTGGTCAGATGTCCCAAATGACCTGGCGCTCAGAGTAAGGCAAGCTCGTTGTACTTGCCAATATAATTTCCTCGAGACTTGCGTTGTCCAATTAGAGTAGTTTTGATATTTTTCTTCGTGACTTTCTTCGCGGCTAAGTCAAATGGATATATAAGTTCATCGTTTTTAGAACTAGTGACATA